TTATTATGAAAGGAAAGAACAAAGTGCTTCCTGTTGCTTTCAATCTTTGAGTGGCAATTGGTTCAGTAGTAATAAAATTTCTGTTCCTACTCCTCAACTAATTACCATTCAAAGATTTTAACGTTATAGAAAGATTCCGCTCGAAATAAACTGCACATTTAAATGTTTTGTTGAAAAAAAAAACGAAGCATTTTTATCAGCTTATCACACTCACTTTGTTATTTACTAATATAAATTATCAAGTCTTACTGTTACACATTAGCGTTAATTACTTTATATGAATCCAATAATTCAATTTTCTTGCCTTCTTTTTAAAAATTTTACTTGAATTTCCAATATAATATTTTTTTTCTACCTAGTTTCGAGATCCAGAACTAAAGCTAAACAAGGAAATATAGTGCTCATTATGCGAGTGATACGATTATCTGATCAGGAATATATCCTGGAATCATTTTTTCTCCGAATGTCTCAATATTCCGGAAAAGATTCTTCATAAAACTTGTTGGAATGTTCAGTGCAACGACATCAACAATATCAAAACCTAAACAGTCCTTCTATCACTTACTTTTGAATAAGATGGACATATCTGCCTGTTATAAGATTTCAAAGCAAAGAAAAGAGTTTTTTTTTTTTCAGAAGATTCAGTTCGGAAATGAATTTTTTCAAGTTTAGTGCTTGTTGCATCAATCTTAGCATCGCTGTCACATTTTACCTCATTGTTAGGACTAAAGCCTTTGAGTTAAGCTATTTTTGATAAAAATATTTGGTCCATGAAAGGGCGAAATAAACTGAAATGAAAAGATAAGCAGAAAATCATTATGCAATAAAAAAAAAGGAAAATTCAATATTTGCAAAATTTAGTGAAATTAGAGGCTAGTAAAATTTGAAAGAAAAAGCGCCATAAATGCGTACACTGATATTTTGGGGAAAAAATTTTAACTTCCTTATTTTTTTTATGGAGAATTCCAAATTGATAGCCAGAATCCTGAATCGATAATCTGGAATCTTGAATTAATAACCAGAATTCTGAATTGATAACCAGTTTTCCACGTCTATAGAATAAAAAACTAGACGAAAATTTTGATAACTTTTTTAGAAAACAAATTTTACTTAAAGAAATTTGTTGGAAAAAATGTTGTTTTGTAAGATTGCAAACGATGAAGTAACACTTTTCCCACTACTGGTTAGAATAATTCATGATGGCAAAAAATGAAAAGAATAAACTTTACTCCATAATACATCATCGATCTAGTTCCCCGTTCGGTCGTTCACCGGGAATACCGTTTTTTTCAAATTAAGCTAATGATCAGTTCATTCCTTTGCACACACACACACACACGCACGCACACACACACACACACACACACACACACACACACACACACACTACT